GCTATTTGATCCTTATGGTTCCACTTCCTGGTCCCTGACTTTTGGTGGTCTTGTCATGTCCAGCAGATTGATTTGGTAGCTCCCGTCTCTTTGCTCCATCAATGGGATCACAATCTGGGCCTTCGTGAGCGTCAGTTCACCACGATGGAGGTCCATCACTGCCCCCAAGGCCTTGAGGAAGCGCTTGGAGATGAGCATGGGTACAGCACCTTTCACCACGTGCATCCTCAGCCATAGCTTGATGCCCGCGAGGAAGATGGGGATCTGCACGGTCCGATGTGACGTGTCCGCCGCCCCATTGCCATACCTGAAGTGGTGTGGACGGTGTTCCAAGTCTTTGATGCTCATGGCACTTCAGGAGGTCCTCACGTCGACGAAGCGTCTCTTCTCCGACAAGCCCTCTGCCACATCCGGTATCGACCACTCCATTCCCGGCGCTATGCACCAGTGCCACCAGAGTCTCCTCCGTCTCCGACTCCGATGACCAGTCGGGGGACTTCAAGGCCTCCTCTTGGGCCTTTTCCAGCTCATCCTTGTACTCCTGGGCCAAGGCCGCAAGCTCTTCATCCGGTAGATTGATCTCCGGCTCTCTCAGGTAGAAGATGGTTTGGCCTGTCCAATCATAGTGAAGATCCCGATGAGCTTCCCCTCGATGCTTCCAGTTGGGCGCAAACATCACTCTGGTGTCTCCATCCGATCGGATGGCCCGAGTCGTCCGAGCTTCACATAGGTCCTCGAGAGCTACTGGACATCCCGAAGCCGCCGGAGTAAAAAGCTGCCTCCTCGGGATGATGTGTTCCCTGATGACCTGACATCCCTGCACATGCCAGTAGTCCCGTCTCACGTACTCCCATCCGGCCACAGCGGCCATCATCTCCTGACCTGATAGACGTCGTCCCCAGGTGTGAGGGTTGTCGAAATGGGAGGTCTCCATCACCCCGTGCTCGTTTGGGGTGTCCGCGTAGTAGCCGTTGCTCATGATCATCTCCGGCTCAAAGTAATCATTCGACCATGTCATCAAGACGTAGTTCACCTTTGAGGTAGTCGATGATGCATTGGATGAGTCCTCGGAGCCCGATTTTCCACTACCCTTTCCTTTCTTTGGGCAGTTGCGGCTGAAGTGTCCCACTTGCTTGCATCGGAAGCACCTGACCCTGCTCTCCAGCTTCTTGAAATCTCGTCCCGGGGTCACTGTCGCCGCCCCGAAACCTCTTGCCAGCTTGGTCTAAGATCAAACTCCCATGGGCCGTTGAAGGGATGCCTTTCGCCTTCTGCACCACCAAGTAAGCTCGACTCCAGCGTCGCCACCTCTCGTAGTCCTTCGAGGGGTTGGTCCTTCTTCTCCTCGGTCGCCATCTGATCCGTCGCGGCAGCCCTTTTCGGGCTCCGCTACCAATTTAAAGGGATTGGTCGCCCTTCAGCGAAGTTCGACAGCCGCGCCTGCGGCCGCAAAAAGCCTTTTTGGCTCAGGGGCTCAAGTCTAGCTTCCGTGCGGGACCCTCCCGCTCTGCATACTCGAGCCGGATGCTCGAGGGTCAAAACATGCTTGAGTCAGAAGCGAAAAACACATCACCCGTGTTCAAATTACTGGTGAGGCGAAGTCGATATGCTCGAGTTCCTAACTGTATCCAACTGTGATAAATATCGCCAAGCTGGACTGAGCCCAGGGATGTGCGCAACCCCTGACAAAAGATTTGAGGACTTTTTTAAGCCAAGGAAGCTCCCTCATGTCAATGTGGAACTCGTGGAGCCATGAGGTAGCTCCTCCTAAAAATTGTAAATCTGACGAAACCAACCTGTGTGGTCTCCTACAACGCAGTGGGTTCTGTGCGGTCGCAATGAATTTGTTGGTACGGCTCAATCATAACCACGAATGGCCTTGGCGGGGAGGGTCCTTGTTTGGGGGCCCTTCCAAGTCGCCAATCCACTTGGCTCCTGGAACTAGACAAATTATGTCCTGGCGGTCAAATGCAATCAATCCTCTAAGTGAAACTGCCAATCCGATCCAGTTCTCATCTCTCAGTTGGCCACCTACACGTGCTGCTTCCAAGGAGCCCAGGTATACGGGTTTTTTCCTCTTCCTGAGCTTTGGAGAGATACGGTCTGCTTCACAATGCCCTTGCCCCCCTGTTTTCTCGAATTCCGGGTGTGGGCATGGCGATCTTCTCTGACATTCGCCCACCTCTACCAGATTTGCAGTAAAAAGTACACAGCAACTTCATATCATTGTAGCTACTGATGTGAGACACGCTAGGTCGAGTAACTATGGAGAACCAGGGAGAACCCCATCCTGGAAAAAAATCTATTCTCCCTTAATCTCCACGCACAAAGCCTTCTGCGCCTGTATCTGCTATCCTACAAGCAACACCTCTTAAAGACGAAGGTTGATCATGGATCGTCCAAACTTGACCAGTACTATGCAACAAAGCCTCGGAGAAGCAGTTAACTCACTTGTCCTCAGCTGATCTCCTGCGCAGTTCCGATGGGAAGGGACTGGATGTTCTGAAGGCTGGGTGAACAGAATCCAAACACCAGCACCTGCATGCACTAAGCACATACCAGTATCTGAAGAGTTGCGCAGAGTAGTGACCACATTGGACCCAAAAACTAACGTGGTTCAGACAACATATTTTGGGATATCCAAGCATTCCGATGTATGCAAGGTTATCACCTCACCTCCACTAGTTTGACATGTATGTGAACCGCAGCCTTGCAGTTCGTCACAAACTATCACGTCTACCAGTCCTGAAACCTCCTCCACTGGCAGCTCCGCCTGCAAGGTGAGAGCACAACCATGTTACTTCCAGAATTCTCAATCAACCACACAGTCGACGAATCTCGACGTTGGGAAAACATCATAGACTGAATCACAGACTATATATAGAGTCTCGCCCAACTGCCCCATCATGTTCTAGTCCAAATGGGGCACCCACGGACCAAGCGGAAAACCTTGAAAGAATTCAACTTAAATCACGCAGGTACCTTTGGTCAACAGGAAGCTCTTGAACCGTGCCCCCTCGGGCCTCGGGTAGGGTTGGCAGTTCCTGCAGCTCCTCAGGCCAAGCGGCCTTCCCCGCAGAGCTCACCGCTGCCACCAGCGGGGTGAGCCCGATGGAGGACATGGGCGTGATTGCCGGGGATGGCACCTGGCGGCGCGACAAACCAACGCGAAAGGTGATTGTTGTTTTAGCAGCCCATCTTTAAAGGCTGCGAAAAGGTGGTAAGTAGGAAAAATACTAGGTTTGGTAAGTGGCTACTACCGATCAGTCGCAAGCTTCTTCAAGGAGGAGTGGGCCTTGATGCTTTGGCTCCTAGGCTTTGGGAACCTTAACCTTACTCCAGGACGTTTCCCAATGTGATGGTTTTTCAAAGCCTATTGGCCTATTGAGGTCCTCCCACAACTTAGAAGACTTCTTTGTGGATTTTTAATATAGATATATATATATATATAACTTTTTAATCCATTTCCAGTGGCGCACGGAACAACAAAGTGCAGCGCCGAGCAGACGAAATTCCCTAATTTCATGCAAACATCCCTGACGCTTAATCCCACCTCAGTTCATTCTTGGATCGACACTGGTAAAGGTCGCGCTTCCCGGCGCCGACATGAGGGGATCACAGGGAAGAGCTGGATGTAGACAAGCCCAAATTGAGCGCCCACTCCGGCAAAAACAAAATTACACCACCGTAGACCCCAAACAGTTTGTGTTTTTCAAAATCGAAACTAGAGCTTGCGACGTCCAGAGCTGGGAGACAAAGGATTCCAAGGCAGAGGCGGCCACAGCAGCCCAGAGCTGGGAGACGAACGTAAAGGATTGCAAGGCAGAGACGGACACAGCAGTACAGAGCGGGCGGACACATCTTAAGAAAGAATTGAAAAACCCTAACAGTAAACCTTTTGGGGAATTATTCTTCAAGTGCGAACATGATGCTGGTCATGCTGCTCAATCAGCAAGGAGCTGACCACGTGAGGACAAGAAATAGAAGCATGAGGAGGGAAGGATGTGACATGAAATTGATTTTTGGCGCCTGACGCATGCCCTCCGTCCCAACTGAACAGAGAGATCGCTGCCACGCCGCCGAAATCCAATCCGGTCATTCATCCAACGCTTGCCCGAAAAGGAAAACAAAGCTGAGAGAGTTACACAGTGTGGCAGGAATGCACTCCCGGAGACAGTCACGCGGCAGAAAACAGCAGTGCAGGCACCAAACCTGAAAGACAAAAAGAAAGAAGCCGCATGGGAGACAAATGAATCTTCATGGCCAACGGACAAGGGCGGACACCACCAGTGACAGACCTGAAAGACAAATGAATAGAAATGCTACATGGCAGTGACGGACCTGGGAGACAAATGAATAGAAATGCTTCATGGCCAATAGACAAGGACACACCAGTGACAGACCTGGGAGACAAAAGAATAGAAATGCTACATGGCCAGCGGAAAAGGGCGGACATCAACAGTGACAGGCCTGGGAGACACATGAATAGAAATGCTGCATGACCAACGGACAAGGGCGGACACCAGCAGTGACAGACCTGGGAAATGAATCGAAATGCTGCATGGCCAGCGGAAAAGAGAGGACACTGGCAGTGACAGACCTGGGAGACAAATGAATAGAAATGCTACATGGCCAACGGAAAAGGGCGGACACCAGCAGTGACAGACCTGGGAGACAAATCAATAGAAACAGCAGAAAAGGGCGGACACCACCAGTGGACAAATGAATAGAAATGCTGCATGGCCAGCGGAAAAGGGCGGACACCACCATTGACAGGCCTGGGAGACAAATGAATAGAATGCTGCATTGCCTGCAGAAAAGGGCGGACACCAGGCCAACGGAAGAGGGCGGACACCACCAATGACAGACCTGGGAGACAAATGAATAGAAATGCTACATGGCCAGCGGAAAAGGGCGGACACCAGCAGTAACAGACCTGGGAGACAAACGAATAGAAATGCTACGTGGCCAGCGGAAAAGGGCGGACAGCAGCAGTGACAGATTTTTGGGAGACAAATGAATAGAAATGCTACATGGCCAGTGGAAATGGGCGGACACCAGCAGTGACAGATTTTTGGGAGACAAATGAATAGAAATGCTACATGGCCAGTGGAAATGGGCGGACACCAGCAGTGACACAAAGGGCGGACACATCTTAAGTGGGAGACAAATGAAAGGAAATGGGAGACAAGCCGGCCGGGAACCCGACCACAAGCACAGAGGCTGGGAGACAATGAAAGGAAGTGGGAGACAAGCCAGCCGGGAACCCGACCACAAGCACCCAGGCTGGGAGACAAATGAGAAGGGAGACAAATGAAAGGAAGTGGGAGACAAGCCGGCCGGGAACCCGACCACAAGCACCCAGCCTGGGAGACAATGAAAAGAAGTGGGAGACAAATGAAAAGAAGTGGGAGACAAATGAAAGGAAGTGGGAGACAAGCCAGCCCGGAACCCGACCACAAGCACCCAGCCTGAGAGACAAACAAATGAAAAGAACTGGGAGACAATTGAAAAGAAGTGGGAGACAAATGAAAAGAAGTGGGAGACAAATGAGAGGAAGTGGGAGACAAGCCAGCCGGGAACCCGACCACAATCACCCAGCCTGGGAGACAAATGAAAAGAACTGGGAGACAAGTGAAAGGAAGTGGGAGACAAGCCGGCCGGGAACCCGACCAGACCATCCAGCACCAAGGCGACCATTCTTTAAAGCATTGAGAACCCCTAACAGTAAACTGTTTGGGGAATAAAACGGAAGACGTACTGACATCAAAAGCAGTGGTCTTCGTATCAAAAACAAAAGCAGCCAGGGACAAAGCGCTGGCTGGAACTGTCCTTAAGTGGCACTATTTTCTCTCGCCGTGCACCCTTTGCTGCAAGTAGCAGCAATGATCCAGGCGCTTGGGCACCAGATGGCACACGAGCTTAAACTCTGCGTTGACGCGCGGCCGTCAAAACGTTACTATATTGAAAGTCGTATCCGTGATAATCTGTGCGGCTGATTCTGCCACGAATGAGTTCCTTAGATCTATAAGTCCATTGTTGTCTTGGTCTGCCGATTCTTCTTTTTCCAATTTCAACGGGTTCCGCATTGTCTGGCTCGTATGTGACCTGTCTTAACGGGTCATTGTTTGGAGAACGGAGGATATGTCCAGCAAGTTTTACGCGCCTTTCGTCCAAAGTTGTAGCGAATGGTTCGATACTTCCATTGCCCAATGGGTACGCTATTTCCGACGCTCTTTGATAAACTCGCTGGTTAGTATTCTGCCTATCTATATAGGTGGTTTGCATCTTCATGATTTTTCTGAGGCCTCTCAAATAAACGCATCCAACTTTTTCCGCAAAGAACCAGTGAGATGTACAGTTTCCAAACAGTACAGTAGCTTACATGTAATGACAGCATCATAATTGAGAGGCTTCCACCTGGGAGTGGAATTAGGGTCCTTCCATAAAATGTCAAGCCTCAGCCATGTTCGCTTCGTGTCTTGGATGCGTTGTGAGACTTCACGCGCTATGTTCACAGTGTAATTCAAATTATTGCCCAAATACGTAGCATCTCGAGCGTTATTTAAAGGGGTTCCGTCATGAAAATGTATGTCGGCATCATGGTACATCTGTATGGAATGACATTTGCGTCGGTTAATCTTCAACCCATAATATTCCCAGCATGTCTCCATATCGCTAAGTAATTCGTTTAGGGCAATAGGTTGGGTTGAAAATAGAATAGCATCATCTGCATAAAACACTGTATCGAACTGAACTCCAGAAATTCGCGCGTTGAAAACCAATTCTGAGCAGTTCTGCTTCACGTGTGTATCAACACAAGTCATGACCAGTAAGAATAGGTAGGGGTTAACGGACATCCCTGTCGTATTCCTGCGTTCTGCGTTTTAATTGCAGCTTTATGAACGTAGAAGGTTGGTGACTGGTACAAAGCTTTGATGGTACTAATGAAATGGTGAGAAAAACCGAGTCTCCTCATTGAAGCAAAAAAAACTTTGAATGTTGAACCTTACCAACGCTTTTTCCCGATCAATTAGAGCTAGGTAGAACTGTGCGTTTTTCTGCTCAGACCAGTCTTGCAACCTTCTGATTAAATACGTAGCGTGAGCGCTAGATCTGCTTGGCCTGAAGCCATACTGCGTCGGTGAGACTTTCAACTCAACTGCTTTCTGTATTCTGGCGCGGACCAAGGAAACATAAACTTTATATAACGCACTGAGTAACGAAATGGGTCTGTAATTCGATGGATTGTCTACATCACCTTTTTTGTAGACGGGAACTACACGTGCCATTAGGATGTCATGCGGGGTAGTTGCGTCCACCCACCATTGGTTTAAAATGTCTAGAAGCAATTTTCTATCAGTGTCGAGCCATTTATACAACTCAACAACTACGTGGTCCGGACCCGGTTGTTTGTTGACTTTACAATTTTTCAGGACCTCCTGAAGCTCTGCCAAAGAAAACAAAGAACTGTCACAAGCTAGGGGGTCACCTATATTATCTTGTCTAGGTAACGGGCCCCGACCGCAAGCGTTGCACCAATGGTGCTCTTCCAGATAGGCGGCAATGGTCTCAGCTCGCTCCTTGAGGGGAACCAAACGACCATTTCCATCTTGCATACTCACGTATGATGGTCCTTCCTAAGGTAATTCACTGTCTTCCACATAGGATCATTCGGGTCCACTTGGAACTGATTGACCACTTGCCTCTTGCGGTAGCGTCCTTTTTGATTTGCCTGTCAAGAGATTTTGCTTCATCGCGCTTACCCTTAAGTGGCACTTGCCTTTCGCAATGCCAAGCGGATAGCAAAACAAAACGACCAAGGCATACTGGACCTCGAGCCAACGTGATGGCAAGTGTTGCGCTGCATCATCTGTTCCTCCTGGCAGCTGTCATCAGCACTCAAGCCTTGCGCTGCCACCATCCGTCTCTGCTAGTCTGCTAGTAGCTGTCATCGGCGCTCAAGCCTTGCGCTACCACCATCTGTTGCTCCTGGTAGCAGTCATCGGCGCTCAAGGCTTGCACTACCACCATCCGTCTCTGCTGGTAGCAGTCTTCGGCGCTCAAGCCTTGCGCTACCACCATCCGTCTCTGCTGGTAGCAGTCATTGGCACTCACCACCATCCGTCTCTGCTGGTACCTGTCATCGGCACTCAAGCCTTGCACTGCCACCGTCTGTTGCAGTCACCGGCGCTCAAGGGATGCACTACCACTATCTGTTGCTCCTGGTAGCTGCCATCGGCACTCAAGCCTTGCACTACCACCATTTGTTGCTCCTGGTAGCTGTCATCGGCCCTCAAGCCTTGCACTACCACCATCTGTTGCTCCTGGTAGCAGTCATCGACGCTCAATCCCTGCGCTACCACTACCTGTGGCTGGCAGCTGTCATCGGCACTCAAGCCCTTACCCTTGCCGCTCTTTCCTCATCATTGCCGCCGAGGTATTCCTCCATGGTCATGTGAACAGCTGGTCCAATGCACATCGCCTCCATTCTATGGCACATCACTTTGCTTTGATGCCGCTGCTTACTTCCAAGCCTTTGCATACGGTGTCGACATAAAGGGCATGTCCACGGCGTGTTCGTTTTCAAGCACTGGGGCGCATCAAATTACCGCTGCTGCCCTGGCACCATTTGGGCCCTATATATATATATATATAACTATATATCATTCCAAATTCAATTCTAATTGCATTCATGTCCTATCGCTGAAAAATAATGACCACAGGTAAGCTTTCATCAACATCATTACAAAACCATGTGTGGGACAATACATGTTCCTCAAAGGCGAGGACCCTTACTTCACCTGTACAGCTGCAGGTGAGTGGAACCCACTCGTCTGGCCGAGCACGCGCGCGAGCCTTCTTGGGCTTTGGGCGCGGTGGGCCGAAACTGACGCCTCCTCCACTGGCGCAATGCGCAAGGACCTGAAGGACAAAGACGGAATGCCCCGCTCTCATCAAAAACAAACACTCCTCACCCAATCGAGCCCAACACACCTACCACAAAAGCTTGCGAGACAGATTCGTGTTGCGCTTCACACTCGTTTCTGCCGTCTTGGTAGGGACTTCTACTGGGTGACCCTTGTGCTCATCATCCACTGCTACGCTAAATGCAGCGCAAGTTGCTTATGTCTGCTATACAATGTGATCAGGCATTGAAGCTCAGAGGCTAAGAGCATTTGGCCAAGGTGCACTAAGCTTGTCAGTTCTTGGCTTTCGCGCTTTTGGATAGGTGGCCGAGAAGGATGCATTTCCTGATCACTGCTAGACTATGACTCAAGAATGACACCAAAAAGGTCTTCTCAAGGGAACAAGGAAGAGCTGGCCATCATAAGTTTCTCCCAACACATCGGCAAACCAAACTTGCAACATCCAAGCGTCCTCCAGTTCCACTGCCAGGCAAGGGCACTGAAAGGCTCGATACCATGTCGATGTGGAAAAAGTTCACCCCGAAGCTTTGGGAGTGGAAGCTGGTGGCATAAAATGAGGACACGCGGGCCTTGAGTTGCTGGTTGTGTAACGTTGTTTGGTTTTTGAGGTCAAGGTTTTCTCTTAAGGTGTTTGCAGGTTGTTTGGGAGCCAACCCAATGGACACATGCAAGTTGTGTGAACCATGTCGTGGTTCAAAGGCTTGGGAGGTCAAACGCTTGAGAGGATCCCTAACAGCTTGCTGGCCTGCCACCTTAGGCGGAAGGGAGCCAAGCGACTGCGGCGAGTCAAAAGAATGTTTTCACGTTCGAACGATTGTTTGTGGAAGCCTTCTTGGTCAGCATGGCTGTTCTGCAACAGTCGCTCCATCAAAAGCAACAACTGATAACTGATACAGTAACAACAATATTAATAGATTTAATGGAAAAACAAATATATATATATATATAGAGATACAATATATATATATATACATGCGATAACGGCGCTGCAATTCAAACCACAACAACACCGCCAGTAGCCTCGTAGCTTTCTGCAGGCGACTTTTGAATCAGGCTGGTCGAGAGTGACAAACCCGTTTCAAGCCAATGCGGAGTGGCAATTGTTGGTGGACAGTGGACAGTTTGTTGGCGCAGTCTGCATCGGCCAGCTGCACGTGCGGTGGCTTTCATGTCCTGCGCAACCTCCTTCTCGAACAGCAAGTAATCCTGCGCACTCCACGAGGGCGTGTCACTTTCATGGAATGGCTATTCTTCGTGGAAAAGAACATCTTCCATGGATCTCCGCGCCCCCATCGCGCGAAGCATGATCCTAGAACCGCGTCTTGTTAGCATGTGTTCGAACATGATTGTAATATCAACAAGCAGTGGCTGGCATCTATCTTGCAGCATGACCCACACGCAAGGTTGAGAATTGTTACAGCTCTTAGTTTAGGGTCCCTCGCAGCATCTGCGCGACAAACCTTGCGGTACTGGAGGAGACTTAGAATAGAGTCAGGCACAACTCAATCCAGCCCTCGTGCCACCTACCAACACAGGATAGTTTAGCTCGGGGAAGGTTAGGCCTTTAGCGGCACATCTTGCGCAGATCTTTCGCGAGAAGTCACTAGATATTTCCCCCAAACATCTGCACAACAACTGTCAGAGCTGCAGGTCGTTGCTTCGCTGACACGGCTGCGCAAGGGCGATGCAGTTGTTGGTTGTTCGTTCACTTATTCACTTCATGAAGCACAGTGCTGGACGCACTGTCAGGGCTGGGCGAGGAAACGTTGAGGTTTCAGTTCGTTTGTCTGCGCCAGTGGGGACAGGAACCGCAGAATCCTTTCCGAAGTGTGAGGGCTGGGCAAGGAACCGTTAAGGCTTCAGTTCGCTAGTCTGTGACAGTGGGGACATGTGGTGGCACTTCCGCCCGCCGGGCCTATTGCCTTGCATTTCTACTACGGTTAGGTAGAAAGGAACTAATATTAATATGAAAAAGATATAAATCGCGAACCTCATCGCAGATCTTTCGCGGATGGTTTGGACTGCGTCCGAAAGGTTGCTTTATGATGGGGCCTCCCATCTGGGGCCCCGGGGTGGATGGGGCCCAGAATAATGTTTTTGTTATTCAGGGGTGGTGGACCTACACCTGGCCAAAAATTATTCCATATGTGAACACCTTTCAGGAATAGTTTACAGCATTTTACAGCCATGTCTGCCTTGCAGTCTATAAGTGATCTTACACGCGTTCCAAAAAGCAGGCTCAGTTTCACTACAGTGATCTTCTGCGTTTTGATTCCTCCTCGTTTCCGGTCGCGTCAAGTGATCCAACACGCAGCAAAACGGCTGAACTTTTCAGATCAGCAACCCCCCACGTGACTTCCAGGACGGCGAGCCCACGCCAGAAGCCAGACCCAGAAACCAAACTTGGGAGCAAACACCGTCAGTGCCAGGTCATAGGTGACCTAACCAAATCTTTTGTTGGGACTCCGAAAATGGTCTCACGAGAAAAGAGAGCTGTCAGATCTGTGGAACTGTGAAGAACGCCCCTTGCGTAGGGGTGATCACGTCAAAGCCGCCCTGGACTTAAATCTGCTCAGAAACCAAACTTGGGAACTGCCAGATCAGGGCTCCTAGGTCATAGACGCCCCAGCCACATCTTTCTTGTGGACTCTGAAGCTGTGAGACGTGTGACCTGCCCCAAAATGGGAAGTTTGCCTCGCGTTGTAGGCCACTGTTCAGTAGACAGCCAACTGCTAAATTATTCCAAGGTCTATCACATCAAACCCACCCCTGGAATTATTTCAGTCCACATAGCAAGCAATGAGAGCCACCAACGACAAAAATAATCCCAGCGGTGGGTTTGAAACGATCGACCCTGGAATAGTTTAGCAGTTAGCTGTCTAGAAGGCAAACTTGCCCTGTTGGGGCACAAATCTTAGAGCTTCCACAAATCTGCAGCTTCAGGTCACACATCTCACATCATCTCACAGCTTCAGAACCCACAACCACGGTGTTTCTTCGGGCACCTATGACCCAGCACCTGTGACCTGACAGTTTCTTATTCCCTGGTCTCGGGTCTACTCCCGTGAGACCAATTCAAAAATTTAGTGCCGAATTTGGTGTGGTTTCTTTCCTTGACTAAAATAATTCCAGGGTGGGCTTGATGTGATAGACCCTGGAATAATTTAGCAATTAGCTGTCTACGGAGCAGAGACATACAACAGGCACATATCTTACACAATCCACAGCTTCAGGTCACACGTCTCACAGCTTCAGAGTCCACAAGAAAGATGGTCCTGGAAGCCACAGGCTTCTAGACAGCAGATTTAAGTCTAGTCTAGGGCGGCTTTGATGTGATCACCGCAATGGGGAGCATTTGGCCCGAGATGGCCCACGCCACTTTTTTCGCAGTTCCACAGACCTGACAGGTTGAAGGTTTAAGAACGAAAGGCGTCATAAGGATCCTTGTGACACCTTTCCTGTTCCCCCATGATTGTGATCGTTTTTGGATTTTGAGCCAGCTGCAAATGCGAGCGTGTGATGTTGCTTCTTGAAGTTATGACATCATTCCTTTATCACACCTTGAAAGTCCATTCCGACCATATTATTCCAGGGTCCCACCCACCCACCCCAACATGGTGTAGCCAGTCAATTCCGACCTTATTATTCCAGGGTACCATCCACCCACCCCAACTTCAACATGGTGGCTTTAATATTCTGTAAAAAAAATAAAGTATTCTGAAAAAAAATCCTGGGGGTGACCCTACCCTGGAATAATTTTCGACAGGAGGGCCAATGTTTTATGTAAAACCCCTTACACGCCCCTTTAGATCGATCAACTCACACGTCCTTCACCTAGTCGAAGTTAAAGTCCTTGAGGCATCTGCCTTAAGCGCTTGTCAGGTTTCGCACCACCCGCCACGCATACGGAGATGTTGCCGCGGACCACCTGGACCTTCATGCTCTTGGGGACGATGGCAGGAGCCGTTCCAATCTTAGGCACAACTCCTTCAGACAACCTGGCTTCCAGCTCTCCGCGGATTCTGTCAAGCTCTTGCTCTCCAATTGGCACGAGTTCGGCATGATCTGAAGCTGGGACGCCCCTTGGTTTGCCACTCGCGTCTTCTGACCCACGTCCGTGGGCTTTTGGATCCAGCAAGGTCCAAATTCGCCAGGTTCGCCGTTCGACTTGGCAGCAACGTTCCCATCGCCAAATCTCCTAGGAGCAAACGTATGTTCATACCACCCGTTTTCCGGCATATCCCCGTACTATCCAGTCCCTCCCAAAATACACCACCGTAGACCCCAAACAGTTTGCGGCTTTCAAAACCGGAACACTCTGCAACTAGAGCTTGCGACGTCCAGAGCTGGGAGACAAAGGATTGCAAGGCAGAGGCGGCCACAGCAGTCCAGAGCTGGGAGACACATGTAGACCCAAGGAGACAACCCAGAGCTGTGTGACAAATGCAGTCTAAACACAGGAAGACATGCGTAAAGGATTGCAAGCGACACGCAGCCCAGAGCTGGGAGACAAATGCAAAGGGTTGCAAGGCAGAAAGCTGGGAAAAAATGTGAGGGGTTGCAACCGAGAGGGGGAGAGAGGAGGCACATGTAAAGGAAAGAAGGAAGACAAGGCGGACACAATGAGCAACAAGAAGGGGGACAAGAAGGGAGACAAAAGGAAACAGAAGGAGACAAGACGGACACAGTGTCCAACAAGAAGGGAGACAAGACCGGAGACAAAGGGAAACAGAAGGGAGACAAGCCGGACACAAGGCGGACACAATGACAAACAAGAAGGGAAGCAAAAGGAAACAGAAGGGAGACGAGACGGACACCGTGACCAACAACAAGGGGGACAAGACCAGAGACAAAAAGAAACAGAAGGAAGGAAGACAAGGCGGACTGACCAACAAGGAGGGAGACAAAAGGAAACAGAAGGGAGACAAGACCGGAGACAAAGGGAGACAGAAGGGAGACACGCGGACACAATGAAGGGAGACAAGAAGGCAGACAAAGACAAGGCGGACACAATGACCAACAAAAAGGAAAAAGGGAAACAAGAAGGGAGACAAAAGGAAACAGAAGGGAGACAAGACGGACACAATGACCCACAAGAAGGGAGACAAAACCGGAGACAAAGAAAGAATGAAGGGAGACAAGGCGGACACAGTGAGCAACAAGAAGGGAAACAAGGCGGACACAGTAACCAACAAGAAGGGTGACAAGACCAGAGACAAAGGGAGAAGGGACGAGGCGGACACAATGACCAACAAGAGGGAGGCAAAAAGGGGACAAAAGATATCAGAAGGGAGACAAGACGGACACAATGATCAACAAGAAGGGAGACAAGAAGGGAGACAAAAGGAAACAGAAGGAAACAGAAGGGAGACAAGACAGACGCAATGATCCACAAGAAGGGAGACAAGACCGGAGACAAAGAAAGAATGAAGGGTGACAAGGCGGACACAGTGACCAACAAGAAGGGAGACAAGAAGGGAGACAAAAGGAAACAGAAGGGAGACAAGGCGGATACAGTGACCAACAAGGTGGACACAGTGACCATCAAGAAGGGAGACCAAGGGAGACAAGCCGGACGGAAGGCGGACACGCTGTCCGGCAGCAAGGCGGACACTCTTAGAAAGCATTAACAGTAACCTGTTTGGGGAAGTACAGAAAACACCTGGGAGACAAATGAATAGAAATGCTGCATGGCCAGCGGAAAAGGGCGGACACCAGCAGTGCAGGCACCGAACCTGGGAGACAAAAGTAAAGAAATCACTTTAAACACAAACGAATTGAAATGCGGCAAACTGTTTGGGGAATGAATGGAAATGTTGCATCGCCGGAAAAGGGCGGACACCAGCAGTGACACACCTCGGAGACAAATGAACAGAAATGCTACATGGCCAACGGAAAAGGAAATATTGCAAATGAATAGAAATGCTACATGGCCAGCGGAAAAGGGCGGACACCGGACACATCTTAAGAAAGAATTAAGAACCCCTAACAGTAAACTGTTTGGGGAAAAATGTCAGTTGTCTATGGGAAATCTCCAAAGGCACACTGGGACTTGTATGCGAACACATCGGCAAGTGTGGCACTTGAAGCACTCGTGCTTGGCTGTCCTGTGGGTGGGCTTTCTCATTCATGAGGTCCTCGATCAAGTCCAGCACTGATGGCACGCTCACCATGTGCAAAGTAGCGGTTGACCTCATTGCGCGAATGTCTGATGTACCTCAGGTGTGAATTGAACAGCCTGTCGATCTTCTCATGCACAACACGGGACAAAGGAAAACTTAATTGCAGGCTGAAGCACGCCTCCTTTTAAGCCGAGTCGCTGCACTTCAACAAGCTCCCGCTTTGAGGAGCAGTCCTTCCACGCCTCAGCGGTGCCGTGAGCACCACACATGCATACATGACAATACAAGTGACCACAACAAGCGGGCTGTGTTCTAAACACTGCTGAGTTGCCTACGCTGGGCGTTTTGCAGGGTCAGAATTTGTGGGAAGGGTGGCTTCGCGAGGCTTCTTCGTACAACACCAGAGGCTTCGCGAATTGGCTTCGCAATCTTTCGTACACTCTCTCAGTTAGCCTTTGCAAGTTGGCTTCGTCTGTGTGAAATCCAAGGGCCTACGCCAGAGGCTTCGCGAGCCTTCGCCGCACATAATGTATCACACAAATGCCTTCGCAAACATTTGGTGAGTTACAGCCTAGTCTAATCTAAATTATATATATATATATCATTCAATAAAAAATGCTACTCAAGTGAAGAAACATAAAGAAACCATGGCCGCGGCCACGAATCATCCATTGCCCAGTACTGTTCTCCGCCGGGTCATAGAGCGCATGCCGCTTGCCATGGAGGAAAGGACGAAGGGCATCTCTCAAATCCTGGTCCATCAGGCCACGTCCGGGATTCACGGAGAACGAAATCACCCCATGGTGGAGAACTTGCTTAGCTTGCTATCGCTCCAAAACCTTTCACGCCATGCCATAGCCAGCTCGCCTCAGAGGGTAAAAATCTCTCAATGTGCCATCTGATGATGTCAAGAGTTCAAGGCCTGCGGCACCTACGCTTACGCCCTGCGTGTGTGCAGGGTCCAAGCGAATGGTTCGTAGCAGTTGCTCCTGCACTTCAGGCGCCGCCTGGCGGAGAACCTGCGTTGCCTTTTCATTGAGCTCATGGTCGATGAGAAACTGTTCCAGGGCCGGGTTGGATCGCTCCAGAACCCTGCGGCTGGCTGGGGTGCGAGCGCGACTCCGCCGTCGAGCTGTTTGAAGCCTCCTCCCCCCTCGTTGTCGGACTTTTTGCGAAGGAGTCTGTAAAGGCAACTGAGCAGGAGATCGCGCGGGCGGCCGGGCAGGAGATCGCGAAGGCGACCGAGGCTTGAATGGGCGATGGCGATCTTTGAGAGCAGATCCCAGGGCGATGGGTGGTGTTTTCGGCGGATCTTGAGGCAGATCCATGGAAGGCGGAGGAGGCCTCGCTCCATGCCTGGCAAGCCACCCATGCACCAATAGTAGTGTTCTGACACCTTCTCAGGATCATTCCAATCCCTTTTGCTGGAATCAGGAAAGCCACATTCGTCATGCGGCTTTGTCGTCACTTTTCAACCTGCATCCACAACTAGGTCTCTGTAGGCCTTTCGATTGAAATGCATGTAGTCCTTCTCTTCGACTCTGTCCCTCTTGCCCTGAAGCCACTCTTCAAAAGGCACTGCGGCTGCCTCATCTATCACACCGACTTCTTCCGCCAAACTATCCTCCTTGGTGCTGGTGGTGGTGCATTCGGACGCTCAAGATAAAGCATAAATATATATATATATATATAGAATAGTTCTGGGAGACAAATGACTAGAAATGCTATATGGCCAACGGAAAGGGCGGACACCACCAGTGACAGACGTGGGAGACAAATGCATGGAAATGCTACATGGCCAGCGGAAAAGGGCGGACACCAGCAGTGACAGACCTGGGGGACGAATGAATAGAAACGCTACATGGACAGACCTGGCAGACAAATGAATAGAAATGCTACATGGCCAGCGGAAAAGGGGAGACAACAGCAGTGACGTACCTGGAAGACAAATGAATAGAAATGCTACATGGCCAGCGGAAAAAGGCGGACACCACCAGTGACAGACCTGGGACATGGCCAACGGAAAAGGGCGGACACCAGCAGTGACAGTGAGACAAATGAATAGAAACGCTACATGGACAGACCTGGGAGACAAATGAATAGAAATGCTGCATAGTTAATGGAAAAGGGCGGACACCAGCAGTGACAAACCTTGGAGACAAATGAATAGAAATGCTACATGGCCAGCGGAAAAGGGTGGACACCAGCAGCGACAGACCTGGGAGACAAATAAATAGTAATGCTACATGGCCAGCGGAAAAGGGCGGACACCAGCAGTGACACAAAGGGCGGACACATCTTAAGAAAGAATTGAGTACCCCTAACAGTAAACTGTTTGGGGAAAAATATCGATCCAATTTGAAAAAAGAATCACTTCCAGCAAGGGGCTGTAGTCCCGATGCATATCATCGCCATCCAAATCTCGCCCCTGACTGAACCAGGTTTGCCGTTTTGCCTGGACTTCTCAGCTTAGAGCATCAGCTAGAGCCAACCGCCACCAGCTCAAGGTATCTGCCACCATGGTGACCTCAGCACTCACACTGCATGCACATGATCCCGCCTAAAGATTGCTATCCCGCCCATATTGGCGAACTTTGAACAAACTCTCAGTTCCTGGTTTTCGCAAGCAGTCTGATCATCAGAAAAACAATCATACGAGCATAGACTCCAATCAGTTCCAGCAGGAGTTTTTTGAATCCCAGCGTTGGTGGAACGTCTTTAACTACATTTCTCTGGCCTTAAATGTGCTTGGGAACAGCATGTAGACCAAACAAAAAGATTTCGATTGGGAACAGGAACAGGAAGGAATCAAACCCGAGCAAGACGGTGGAGAAAGGGAAAGCGGCGCGGCCAAGCAGGGGACAAGGCCTCGACAAGGCGGTGATAAGAGGGCTGACACTAAACTGTTTGGGGAATAATATGAAGATGCCCAGCCACGTGGTGCGCAGCCATGCGCATCGACACCTTGCGGCCTCACAAACTGCCAACTTCCCTCAAGTTCTGACCCAGAAGATGGTTGGACACTCCTGGATCTTCCCAAGGAAAGTTAAGTTGCATTCTATTCAGTTGCAGTTTTATGTCGCAAGATTCTGTCAAACCACCCCAAATCCCTCAATCTGGCTAACCATCCCCCTCCGTCCTGAGTCCACTGTCAAGTCCTTCAAAAGCTGCAAAAGCGAAGGCAACGAGTGGAAGCGCAGGAGGTGAGGCAGCGTGGCCCACTCCTTAAACCCAAATGAATGGTCCCAATGGTTTTTGATTGATGGTCCTATACACTTCTGGACAGCTCCTTCAAGGCCTTTATTCATCCGTAAAGGAATACATCTTAAGGCGAATCCCACGAACAGATGCTAGTTGACATCCCCGAATGCAACATTGGTGGATGTCTTTAGGTTTTGCCAAGGCTCTGTGAACTGGTACCAGTACCGCCGGTCGTCGATGAAGCGATGGATGGACCATGATTGCCTCAGCAACCACCCTCAACATGCCCAAAGTGCAAACATCCTCCTGCAACCGAACTTATACTTACATACAGCTACTACTGTAATGACTCATGACCATCTGAAACCAAGAATATCCTTGCACCCATAGGAATCCTCACCAGGAACAACCACTAAAACACATTGCCACATTGCATCTACTCAGAGGTTTCTGTTGTGCAAACCACATGCTAAAGCCTTTCCCTGCCCCTTCCTAATGAATCCACAGGGCAGGTAGTTGCTGGCATGGAAGGCGGGTGCATCCGTCTGTGTTCGCAGCTCTGGTGGCGCCCGCTCCAGGTATCGGGTCTCGGCATCGTAGCCTCAGCAGGCATTGACAGGGACCACCACCACCACCACCACCAAACCCCGTTGTACACTCCTTTGAGGTGGCCTCTGCTAGTTGTGGGAAAGTGACGCAACCGGATCTATTGGCGCTTTTCTCTTTTCATGCAACTTCAACTGTTCAAAAGATCATGACAATGACAATAGCGCTTTAGTTCCCATTGGCACGTTCTGTGAACTCTATATTATATTAAATGACAAGTTCCCTAGCAAACAAATAGACTTATACAATGTTTCTTGAGCTCCGCGCACCTCCAAATGTCCTGCTGCTCCAAACAAAGTTCTGCACTAGTGGCTCCTGGAACGCTTGAAACCAAAATACTTATGGTGGTACATGGTTGCAAACTGTCTGCAACCTTGAGTTTTCAAGCCCCTGTCTAGTGAGTGAAATCCTCCCAGCTGCAAAGAAACACAGACGGGTGGAAATTACAGGCAAACCGGGTCAACCGAACATCGGTGCAGTGTTGTCCTCCGGCACCACAGCTGGGATGTTGGCGGCATAGATGTCCGAGAGGCGCAACGCATTGGGGCCGTGCGGCACAAAGATCACGCAGTGGAAAGTCGCGATCCTCGGAAGAGGCCTTTTTGCTTTAGCCCGTGACCTGCCCCCTACCTACTTGATTAAGCCCAAAGTTAGCTCCTAGCCCAGGTAGGACTTTCCTTGAAAAAGCGCTCGCACTGTTCATTTGGTTCCTACATTGTGAGAAAACATGGCAAGCTGGATGAAGACCGCCGCAAAGCCGCTGGAGTCAGTTCATATAATATATGTGCAAAATCAATCATTACACAGTAGTAGTAGTGTACTTGGTGCCCTCCCTGCTGCTAGAATTTCTACAATAATGGACTGTATGACTGTACGTTTGAGTCTTTCCCTGCCATCTCAGATTGCCTCTGCTGTCACTTTAATAAGGCTCATTTCACCATGTCCCTTTGGCACCCAGATACTCCTCAAAGCTCAAAGCTTTCTTGAAGTCATTCATGTCCATCACCTTCCAAAGAAGGCTTCATATGCTGCCCAAAACGCCAGCGGTTAGAGAAAGCGAACAGGGACAATGGCAACTAGGAGCTATGTCTCATCGGATGCAAAATCTGAACTGTATGATGGGGATTCAAATCACCAGCTTCGCTGAAGCACAAACTTCCTTTTCTGACTCCACAGTGCCAAAACACCTCACAAAAAAACTACACTTTGGATCGCCCGACCTCTGATTCCCCGATTGGAGGGAGATTTGGGGATCCTCCACATCCCACCAAGGCCTTCATGGGAAAGTTCTCCGTTGAGTCCACAAACATCCGCAGAGCGCTTCGGAAGGCCAACCTGATCAAGGGTTTCTTGTGTTTGGCTTTGCAAGATTTCATAGGTATACTATGTGATATACTGGTTTGAAAGGCAAAAGGCTGCTGGCAACTACTGAGTTTGACACCTTGCAAGGTCGTCTTCATATTTGTCTCTACCCCACCGGCCGAGGAGCGTGTTTTGCCGATTGTTCCGAAAGATCAAGGCTCTTCTCTCCTCCACTGGAGCGTACCTGCTTGGAGTGCAGTCACGACCGAAAATGATTGCTGAGCCTGCATGTGCTTTGCCATCTTGCCTGGTTTGGATACCCAGGCCAATGAACGGCACATAGGGGAGCTGCCAGCCACTCTGATGGGCCACCTGCCAGCGCGCTGTGGCGACCCCCATGAAATTCAATGTTCAAAAATTTCATGTCAAGCGCATGACAGCCCCCCCACATTTCATGGGCGCGTGGTCAGCATGCTTCGTTGCATCAAGCCACCTGCTCAATGGTGGTTCGACACGCAACAGAGGGAAGCATGCGCCGCTCTTCTAGCATCGACTTGAAGCCGGACCAAAAGCCTCACTGATGAAAAAATCCAAATGATTGGGCCATCACTATTAGGTTAGGGGCCATCGTTTTTATATAGGTTGGAGGCCATCGACATCGCTAGTAGTAGGTTAGAATCTCACTGTATCTTGAAGCAGTCCAAATACGACTAAGTACTCTATCTTTCACTACTAATACTCTTCAACGGAAACAAGGTGTGTCAACAGCAGAATTTTCGATGTCCAACAAATCACAACACCATCGTGCCCTGAGACCTTGAAGCCAAGCAACTCCACAAGTCGCCCTCATTGGTAGTGGGGAACCTGAGGAAGATGGTCGTTCTTCAGGATCACGCTGCTGTCGTTCTTCAGTTGGGACTCTGCAACAGATGCATCCATGTCAGCTCATGAGAACACTTGTACTTTTTCCCATATGTTTGGGCCCAAAGAAAGGGGGGCCCTTTGTGAGCCGCACTTCACCGCCAGGAAGGCACAGGTGGATCGCTGAGGCCCTACGGAAAGGGTCACGGCGGCCTTTGAGCATAGCTTGCTTGGTGTTGGACACACTCCCTTTGTTTCGAGCCCTTTGCGCTGCCCCTGCGCTCCGCTACATTGGTATCGGAGCGAAAGCTCCAGGACCACACCATCGAAGATTGGTTTGAACTCCGTGGCCTCCCCTTTTTGCTTTGGTTTTGCGCTCTAGCTGCTTGCGCGAGCTTGCAGGTCGCTCCCTTTGCGCACTGAGTCTTCATTGACTACTTTGACCTCGTCCCTGCCTTTGACCTTTTGGCCCTGCACAGCACGCGCTGCTTGCACCAGGTCGACTCGGCGCTCAGCACGTTGAAGGCCGACGCCATGGAGTTCGCTCCAGAGCAGGCGAGCCCTGATCAAGGATCGACTGAACCTCTGCGTCGTTTGACCCAACAGCTTTGCGCTTCAACTTCCAGGTCCTCCATGAAATGAGGATGGTGGGAACGATCTGTCCCTTCAAGGCCAGTGGCATGGTTGCCAGCGTCAGTGGAGTCGCCCTGTGGGCGATTCAGGTGTGACTGGTCACCCATGGAGATGAGGTGACATCACTCCACTTCTTCGTGCCCTTGAGAAGGAAGAACTCGAGCTTGAAACCTCGCCAATCATGCGCTGGATCTTGCGGGCTGTTTCAAGCGTGCCATTGGTCACCACTTCAGTCAGGAGCAGGTTGCACCTTGCACAGATTTGTGGTTGACATTGGATGGCCAACCATTGAAGTGCGCCAAGGGCCGTGCGGCAGGCGGCTGTTTCCGCCTTGTTGAGGATGCCATCCTGCCGAAGGCGATCTGGGGGGATGTCCACGTCCACCAGGGTCTCGATATAGGAGTCCTGGTCAACGGTGATCTTGAAGAAGCCATCCACTTCCCAATTTGTAGGAAGCCAGGATGCGGTCATAGATCATCTTCCACTCGTCAGAGTGAGAGGAATCGTCCACTCGGCCACATCTAAGCCAAGAGCTTCCCAGGGACCGAAGTGCGCGTGAGTCGCAGCTGAAACACATTGCCACTGGAGATGCCACCAGGTCGTAGACCATGACATGTAGGGCACCGGAAGTCATAGGCCATCTTGACCTTCCAAGGTTCCAGGTTGGCATCGCGGACAATGCGGGCCAGGTTCCGTCCAGAGCAGTGGCCAGCAGCCTTGTGGAAGTGAGTCAACTTCACACGCCATCGATCACGTTCTTGATCGGAAGGAGGCTCATTGCTAGGAGCTGCTCGTTCAGGTGATTCATCTTCAGCAGCAGCGGCTGCCTGAAGAGGTAGAAGATCTCCATCAAAAGTCTCTTCAGGAATGTCGTGGTAGTCCATGCACCTGATGAGCTTGTTGGAAGTTGACTGTGACGCCCAAAATCTGGTGAAGGATTGCACCATTTGCCACAGGTAGTAGGCGGTCTTGGCGGTCTCACTGCCTTCAATGCGACCATGGCAGTGTCCACCACAGCATACCTTTGCCCGGAACTGGGCATGAAAGGAGTTGTCATTGGTCTTGATCATCCAGATCTTTTGGAGAAGATCACCATGACCATGGTGATCTCGGAGATGATAGCGGCATCCGTCAATGCGGCAAGTGTCCCAGTCGAGGCCATACTCCTCCATGAGGTGAGCTATAGCCATCAAGGGGGATTGAGACCAGCCATGGCAAGGATGAGGCCATTCCCAGTAGAGCAACGCCTCGGGATCTTCATCGATGGTCTCCTTGATGAAGTGATAGGCCTTCCATAGCATCCTTCTCTCACGCCTGCCGTAGGCCTCCAGCACTTCTTTCAACTCAGGAGTGCATAGTCCACGGAGGTCCATGGACACCACTTCGTGCAGGGCAAAGAGACTCATAGACGCCGAGGCCGGTGTCGTCGGCGAGGATCACGAAGTTTGTTCCAAGTGTCATCCTTATAGAGATCATAGCCAGCTTCCAGGTTGATCCTGCGAGGATTGAGGCCATGTTGATCAGCAGATTGGCTCAGCCAGGAATGAGGGGCACATGACCATCTCGGCTTCCACTCATGAGCTGAGTTGTTTTTGCCCTGGTGCAACAGATGCATTCACGTCAGCTCATGCGAGCACTTGTACTTTTTCCCATATGTTTGGGCCCAAAGAAGGGGCCCCTTTGTGAGCCGCACTTGACCGCCATGAAGGCACAGGTGGATCGCTGAGGTCCTACGGAAAAGGTCACGGCGGCCTTTGAGCATAGCTTGCTTGGTGTTGGACACACTCCCTTTGTTTCGAGCCCTTTGCGCTGCCCCTGCGCTCCGCCACAGACTCTGAACATCTGTGAACAGGTGCTCACCAGGTGCTCAACAATCTATCAAATCTAAGGTCCTTCGTGGTGTTTCGAAAAGAACACTCGACTGCATTCCCCGATTGACCCAGTCACGCACCCTATACCGCCAAGCAACTCATTGAGCAAAGCCATGTGCAATACGCCCAACATCACCTTCGACCGCCTGCAAACTTGGCAGAGAATGGCTCAAGAACACCGCTGGATTGGAGGGCTCCATGAGGTCTGATTGTGGTTTAGTCACTTAAACGTTTAACCTTTCAAACTTGGTTCAAGAGGTAGCCAGTGACCACAGGTGAACACCTCGAGAAACCTGTAGCTACACCACGATCCCAACATCGCCTCAGTCGCAGGTAGGGGCACAACCACATGGGTTCGCTGCAAATCACCAACTCCGCATCCTCCAAGCCTTTCGCTTCATGCGGCAGCCAGACCTGGCCCACCAGGATTCGTACAAATCACCAGGTCTCAAGATGGGGTAATAGAAGCAAGATAGATCAAAATATATAGTGGAATATGTTGTAATGATAATATTGAATATGAGTATGAGCGATCCTGTTGGCGGAAGATCCATGACATCGGATGATGGTGAATGCCAACTACCCGTTCTACTGCGAAAGTCGTCGGAACAGCGAACTGTTTGGAACGGTTAATGCTTGAAAATGCTCATGTTCCTTCAGGATTCCTTGCAGACAGGCTGGATCACCCCTGCCAGCTGTGACATTTGGACATACATGGGCATACACTGTACATACATCCTTTGCAAAACTAACCTGACATCTTTCTTCTCAACAAAGGACCAGTTCTTGCGAGTTGGACACACGACCCATCCCATCAACAAAGCCACATTCCAGCCTGGCCCACTTCCTCCATAGTCAATCGCCCCTCTTGGACAGCTTGGAACATGGCTTTCAAGGTCGCAAATTCCTTGGGAATCGCGGTGCGTGTGTCTCATCCTTAAGAATCACTGCAAGTGGATCCCTCTTGGCACTATCAAGTATGTCGACAAAACACTTGGGTGGAAAGAAACTGATTGGGCATGCAGGAAACCTTTGGAGATGGCCATGGATATGTTGATGAGTCAAGAACCCAAAATGCTAGGCTCGGCCACTAAAATGCCTGGCCGCTGGCCCTTAGCCATGGCTGCCAGCCACAGGCAATATTCACGTCAGAATGATGAACACCAAACACGTCTCAGGAAGATGGAGGCAACACTCGAGAATATTCACTCGGTTTAGCAGAGCTTGTCACTGAAAAAGGAGAGAAAATATCAGGACGGGCATCTGCTACGACATGTTGCTGCAGCCAAACACCCATCTCCGTGTTCCGAAGCGCTTTTACCTTAATGTGCACTGTGCAAGGGAGTGGTGGATGACCATACCCGGTCCAAAAGGTCAATGGATTCTACAACCATCAAAAAGAAGTTCCTTCAAGAAGCTACTAGGAACAAGGGCATCGCTACTAGGAACAAGAAGCTACTAGGAACATTGTTGGAGTATTGGACCTGAAAAAACAAACCTTGCACATTCACGTCGAAACCACTAGTGGCTTCATCACAAAGGGTCTGTCTGGTCTGATGCTCACTAGATTCTCGCAAGCTTGCACGCAATGAAAACTTGTTCGCTTTTCCTTGCTACTACCTCAAGCTGCATCATTAATAATGCCTGTGTCCCAAATTCAATCATGTAGCACTGCGAAACATCTCCTGACACTTTGCACCAAGCTGCTTGAGTAAAGAACAGCTGCACCTGGTCAATCGTTGGCTCCGGGTTTTGCAGGCCGGAGAGAGACCGCAAAGCAGCCTGCAACAACAGGTGCACCATGACAAGACTTGTCGCCGCTAGGTTTTGGCTAGCAGAATGTTGGCGATACCATACTTGCACGTGAAATCCATCGACCTGTTTTAGACCAACGCTTTGCGTCAGACAGACCCTGGAAGGGGTCAAAGGGGCCTGGCCTTGTGACAATGTTGGTGTGCCCAGGCACTTAACGCTTTGGGCACGTTCTTTCTTTACAGTGACTGCGTTTGGCACTCCAGCACAAACTTGATTACTGGAGCCCTTTTGGACCATCGGGGGTCCACGGCTGCAGATCGAATGTCAGGAGTTGTCTTTGTCGCTTCTGAACGCAACGTTTTCACACGGGAAGGAGGTCCGAGGTCCGTCCATTCCTGTGACTGTTTGACTCGAAATAGATGGTGTACTGCAGCCTGGAGACCCACTTGTTAGCATCCTTTGGGTGACCTGACTCCACTCTCCCACTCAACAGCACTATGGGCACTGCCTTGACCGCATCCCTGCCCTGTAACTTTGCCCGGTCCACACCGCAGACACGGAACCTCTCCACCTAGTCGCGTGAGTAGTTTGGCACCACAACGTTCCCGTCTCTCATTGCGTGACGAGGTTACAAGGGTAGGTTCGTTGCATGGGGACAATTCCACAAGCCAGCTTCATGTGTCCGCCTTACAAATACAAATTTAACCGGGTCAGCGGCCGGCGGCAGCCCGATTATAATTGTGGCTTGCGTTGAATCTATTCTATACTATACTCTACTATTTTATACTATTTTGTAATACTAGTTTAAAGTGGGACTATCCAAAATTGTATCACATCTCGAGCAAGAGCACGATAAGCCCGGCCTTCACGCTGGACAAGAGTTCCCATGCTGTTCCATCATGGAACTGCAGCATGGCAATCCTCCAATTTCACAAGAAGTGGACAGCTGCTTTGCAGGAATGGCGTGCAAAGCCCACCTCCCATTCAAGTCTTGAATTCACCAACACACATTTGCGCAGAAGTGCAAATGTGAAAAACATAAGGGCGGCACATGAGCCTCCCTAGGGCAGGCCCTAGGCGTTTAGTAGCGTCTTCTACCCACCCCCCCCGCGTGCGGGAACTAGTAGCGTCCTTGTTACTAGTAGTAAGGCCAGGAGCCCCGAGTAGCGTCCTTGCTCCTAGTAGCGATGCCCTTTGCTCCTAGTAGCTCCTTTGTCAAACTAAACCTGCTTGGAGAATTCAATCCGTCCTAAGTCTCGGCAGGATCGAAGGCATGGTACTGCCACGAGGTCTCAGCGCTGTGCTGTGCCACGGTGGAAGGCGAGCTGCTGGTACAGGGAAAAGCTCCTGATATGAGAATTTGATAGACAAACTGACTTAACAATTGCAAACATCATGCAATCTCTTGCTCAACGAATAACTACGCCAGTCGTTTGGAGAAATGCTATTGCTCTACAATTCCTCATTGCGATGGCTTCCCGGCCCACTTTCTTGCTTGACCTGTAGCTGATCCAGCTAGCGCACACAATGAATCTCCTGATATTCGACATAGGACTTGAAGTTTCCTCAGTTGCTGCGTAAGAAAGAGGAAGCGTCGCTATGAATTCCGAAATCTTGCACTTCCGACATGGCAAGTAACCTGCTACCTTTGGCAGGATGCTCCCACTGGGATAGTGGTGGGTCAGCAACTTCGCCATTCAAGCAACCAACTGAGAGCATCACACAGCCACAGGGCATCTTGCTTAATCTGCTTTCTTTTTTGTTTGGTGGCAATTAGAAAGATGGACAGGAAGTTGGGTTTGGAGTGAATCTTTAAAGCATGAGGGAAACTGTCGAACCGCGTTTTGCCAAGCCCAGTTGAAACGTGATCTACGTCAAGAGTCAGATTGATCAAAGGTATCTACTCCAAGAAGCGTTCGGAGTCCAGATTTACCGCCATGTCATAAAGAGAGACGTTCCAGGTTGTGCTGGCAAATAAGTCCTTGGAAGGGTTGAAAGATGTTGAAAGCTTCCAAATGACATGGTGGTGTGCTGCTACCTATTGATGCTCCTCAAAGGGCAGTCTGCCGGAAGCTTCTGAAACCAACGACTTGAAATCGACAAAGCGATTTCAGCACTCTCAAAGAAAGACGAGCATCATAAGTGTAGTACGGTGCATGAAGAAGGACTTCAATGCTCGCCGTCAGCGCGCTTGACACCTGCAAAAATGCGAGTCCGATTCCCAGCAATTCAATGGGCCCTCCTCCTTTCAGTGTCTCTGCCAAGCCAACCACAAAGTGATTGAAGGATCGATCCCATGAAGCACTGCTGACTTTGGACATTTGCGGAGTCCACAAATCTAAAATCTCAGTGAATGATGAATGGAACAAAACCCAAAAAAGAGATTCTAAAATATTCTAAAGCCTTGGCCTTATCAACGGATTCTCCCTTTCCTATCCCCAATATGACACATTATGACACTATGGTTCCTCAGGCCACGTAAGCATCGTTAGGAGCCGTGCCTCCTGTCGCAGCTCCGAGTGACCCAGGAGCTGGAATCCCACCAACACAGCATATTCCTCAGCGCACTGTGTCAGTAGGCGCTCAGTAGCCCTTGCTTTTGCCGTCAGTGTCGCTCGCCAAGTGGGGAAGGAACCGTGTGGAAGATAGAAAGACGTCCCTGCATGACTATCAGGGAAGGCCACGTGCCTGATTCCAAGAAAGCATCCAGTAAAATGAGCTCCAAAGGTCTGTTCCAGAGCTTGGGGCTCACAACATCTCACAACTACAAAACACACGCACGCACCGCTTTGTTGCACAGACACTTGCCCAAAAAGAAGTAATTACAGGAGCAAGCAAATCCCTAGTTTTGCACAGACCCTTCCAGCCCAAGCTTCCAATGCCAAAAATCCATACGGGCAATCCATCTCCTGAATGTCTCCATGTTGGCCCCGCTTTTCCATCAGCTCTGAAAAGCCTACAGGACCAAACAAGACCAAGGCAGGCCGGCGCAACGCTAGCAAAGCCAGAAAAGGGGTGTGAGGCTCCCAAATCCCAGAGGTAAGAACAAACCAGGGGTTGAGTCAAAAGCGATAAAATACGATGGCACCAAGGCACTCACGTTAGCGCTGGTCTCCACTCCAAAGAAGTCTGCTAGCAGCATGACCTTCGTGCAAAGTGTGACACGAAGGGTCCATGTGATCATTGGAAACAAATTGTCCTCCCACATCCAATCTTGCAATGACAAATCAATTCATAAACTCTGTATGTATAAATATTATATGTTTATATATAATAATATATATATAATTGTGTATCTTCAACCATCCAAAATCGAAAACTGGCCTGGCGGAGCATCCAAGCCCCAGCGCCAGCTGAGACCTGAACTAACTAGAAGCGAGCATCCCAAATGTCTGTGTGTCTGCCTCCTTGACTCCAAAATCCTGCGTTTTAGATCGAGACTGCCTCAGGTTCTCAAAGAGTAAGCCCACAAACAATTGCGTCTTGTAACCTATCCCAATAATTCAAAAGACACAAAATCGGTCAATCTGGCACTTGAGTTCAATGTCATTCTGACAATTCAATCTCCACATCCTGCATCTTCAGCCGCAGCATTGAAAAACAAAAATCCACCTTGAGGGTGGTGTGCCAAGGCATGTCTTCCAACTCATCATATCCAGCACCCAAGTCAAGCCTGCAGTATACTCCAAAAGCAATGGATCAGTTCAAGATCTTTCACTGTACGCAACCCTGCTAAAGATGGTCCTCAATATGACTTTCGATGCCTAGCCATCTCCCCGTCTGGAGCATTGTGAACACAATTACATCCACGCATGGCCCCCCCATAAGATCCTTTGACGCCAAGAAACTGATTGTGCATGTTGTACGCAAAGCGAAAGGTCTCTTTACTGTGCCAACCATGTGTAGAAAGGACATTGTAGAAGCGCTGATACACCTGGCTGTGTAGGCAATGGAGGAAGCCATTCAAGCCTGGCAAATGGACTGGCGTCCGACATGGATCTCATTTAGAAAATCCATTTGCAAATGGGGAATGATCGCAGAAAACAAACAGAACACAAAAATGTTGTGGCATCTTGTGACTCACCCGTTTCAGTTTGACACCCAAACAGCGTGCTACTCTATGGTCGAAGTGCCCACGCAGCCTCCTGTCACGGCCACATGTTTCTCCTTTCCCGCTGAAGCTGCCCCAACAGCAAGCACAAACCACAGGCTTCTGCACATGCTTGGCGAAAGACTTGCGGCATGCTGGATTAGAGGTCAAAGGTTGGGTTTCCAGTCATGTAACATAGTGATGATGCTCTCCTCGAACAGCTGGTGACAAATGCTGCGTACAGTAGTCTCTGCTTCGATCACAAACAATGGATGCCTGCACAAGTTTGACTTCCACGTCAGACTTGAGCCCAGTTCCGGGGTTCCAGTTTTCCAGGTAAACAGCTTCGGTCAGGGCATGCCTTCATCATTAATGTGGCCTTCAAAGTCTGAGTGAATCTTAGCAAGGAATCGGGTTGGTGTTTCCAACATGTGTTTCATAGAGAAACATATGCTTGTAAGCTCACATAGTTTCTGGCAAGCTACCAACAAACCCTACCTGCAATTATATAAGATACCTCACAAAATCTTCTGGGCAACAAAGTCAAACCACGAAAGACCATCCCTTTGGCACAGCTTCCTCTTTTCTTCAGCCCGCAGGCATGGCATCACTGGATGACCGCCTTGGACTTGACCGCGAGAAGGTGCATCTTTGGCAACCTGCTCATGCAGAGCAATAGGGCGGGTTTTCATCCCGCATACGATGCGACAAAGCAAAACCACAAGATCCAAACGGCGGGTGGGAGTGTCATGGCCTGCATTGTCGCCTTGGCAGTTCTCCTGAAACGAATAGCTTCTTGTTACTAGCAGCGATGCCCTTGCTTCTAGTAGCTTCTTGTTCCTAGTAGCGATGCCGGGAGCTACTAGTAGCGTCCTTGCTCCTAGTAGCAATGCTTAACTGAGCCAAGGATGACTTGAACCAGAAATTGACAAGTGAGACTGACCTCACGAAGACGAACTGCTTCGGGTAGACGAAGGTCAAAGTGGTCCTTCAAGCAGAAAACAAGGATAAAGATATGAGAATCCACAAAAAACAAAGGCAGTCATGAAAAAGCAGCTGAAGGAAGTCCTCGTCTTCCCGTTCCAAACCAGTCCTCTGATCCATGTGCTATGATTTCTGGGACACCGGTTTCAGTTGCAGCCTTGTTCGCAGCAAATCGGAATTAATTAGTTGCCAAGCTGCAGTGCACCCCTCGGCAAACAAAGCTGCTCTGTCGCTGGAGTCGTGCTTTCGTTCTCATCGGCAAACAGTGGACATGCCGATGCGTCCTGCGCGCCAAGGTGGCCTTGGGACTTCAGGGTCCAAATCCATGGCCCCTTCAGTGAACCAGTTTTCCCTGGCTCCTCTGGGATATACTTTGCCAAAGGCAGCGGCACCGTGGCACAAGCACCACATACCTCTCAGCCAAGGTCTAGCCACGGAGACATCCCCACAATTGACCGAGAGCATGACGACTATGAGCAAGGAGAGGTGATTAAAGTTGTGCGCAGTAACCTCAAACAGCAAGGACGGATCGGGTCTCTACCATGTCACCCCAAAAGCCGAACATCCCTCTGTGCCAGGGCAGCGACCCCGAGCAGGTGGGACATGCCAGCAGAAGTCACCTGTGTCGGTCGAACCGAATAGCTTCTTGTTACTAGTAGCAAGAATGCTACTAGTAGTAATGCCCTTTGTTACTAGTAGCGATGCCCTTGTTCCTAGTAGCGATGCCAGGAGCTACTAACTGGATGAATGGATCTTCAACCGTCTCCTGCCAAAGCTTTGACTGTGCCTTGTTGATCGCCCGCGAGGTTTGCAACAGCGAATACTCGGATGCGGAGCACAGTGTGGTGATGGCACGAATCGAGAATTCCCAAGGTTTCAGGTTTGATTATACAACTTATGGCATGCTTTGCACCAGCAATGAGCTGAGCTTCTCGCCAACAAGGAGACACTGGTGCTCTCTAGCCCCAAAGGCCCCAGGTCAGCCTCAACTCACTGCACTTTTACTGCACTGGACCTTGGGAACAAGGTTCCAAAAAGGTTGCCGAGAACTGGGCAAAGCGCGAAAACACTGGAAGGACCTGGAGTGATTGAGTCATGGTGTATGTCCAGGATGAACATGGCTGAAGAGGCAGAAAAGAAAGAAAGCCCCTAGTAGCGTCCTTGCTCCTAGTAGCGATGCCAGGAGCCCCT